CGGCCCCTCTGTCGCCTCAGCCGGCCGCCCCCGCCAATGGCCGCGCGCGGAGCCGGCGCGCGGGGGACGGGCGGCCGCCTCGCCCAATCGGGAGCAGCGGGCTCGAGACGGACGGACGGCGGGACGCTCCTCCTTCCGACCCTCCCCGTCCAGCCAATCACCACCCGCGGGAGGAGGAGCCGGCTGGACAGCACAAAAGACGAATCGCGACGCGAGGTCCTTCCGTGGCGTCCAGCCCTCCCGTCACTGGGCGGGGTCAGTGACGTAAACGGGGAGCCCTGCCCTCCTCCCTGCCTGTCTATTCACACGTCTATTCCTTCTGTGCAGACACGTGTGCCTGTCAGGGCAGCACCCCCAGTGTTCCCTCTAAGCTGAGTCAGTGTGAGCTAACTCACAATTTTTTAGCCTCCAGCTCACACATTTTTGTCTCAGCTCAGGAAGGATGGGGAGGCTCCAGAGCAAACTAAGTGATGCAGCAGCCAAATCACCTGCTCACAACTTTAATGCCAGGAGCTCACAAAGTAGAATTTTTGCTCACAAGACTCCACAGCTTAGAGGGAGCATTCTGCAGGAGCAATCCAGGCCTTCATCTGTTAGCAGCTGGCTGCCAAAGTGGGCCAGGATTCCTAGGCAGTCTTCAGCCCTGATACACAGGCTGGATATCATGGGGGGGGGGAGGTGTGGCTAATTGCCCCGACACAGTTTGAACCACGATCAGACGCGCCGGCGGCACAGCACGGGTCCTTCCCTCGGCTCCGGCGGGTAAACGAGGGACCGGAGGAGAATGCGGCGTGCCGGCGCGATCACACCACGGGCGTCTGGAGGCAGTCCGTGGCAAACGTTTACTAGTACCTTGGAGGTAGTGGTTTTTTAAGGCGCATTGTCCACGGTAAGCCACAGGTGCGCTCCACTTCCCAGATGTTGAGGTGTGATCGCACCCGGATAATCCGCCCACCATGCATGCCTCTCCCGCGGCAAGGGGGCTGAGTAAAAAAGCAAAGGAAGCCTCCGGTGAGCTCTGCCAGGCAGCTGCTGCTCCCTCTTATCTTATCGCTCCCTGCACGGAGACAACAAGGCGGCCTAGTGTTCCCTCTAAGCTGAGTTAGTGTGAGCCAGCTCACAGTTTTTTAGCGTCCGGCTCACACTTTTTTTGTCTTAGCTCAGGAAGGATGGGGCTCCAGAGCAGACTAATTTATGCAGCAGTCCAATCACTCGCTCACAGCTTTAATGCCGGTAGCTCACAAAGTAGAATTTTTGCTCACAAGACTTCACGGCTTAGAGGGAGCATTGCTCC